AATTTAGGGGCCAGGGAGATGGCTCAGTAGAATAAGCGCTTCCCTGGCAAGCGCAAGGGCCTGAGTTCAATCCCCAGTTCTGCCAAAAAATAAAAATAAAACAAATTTAATCAGAACTTTTAAAAAAATTTATAAGGAACAGATTAATTTCTTAAATTTCACGAGGCAAGAGTCTCTTTTAAGCTCAATCACTGCTCATCCCATTTATGTTTATTGATATATGTTTGGTTTTAGTTCTGTCATTAATTTACTCTTAACGTCCTCTTTGATTTTTTACGATTATTTGGTATATGGCCCGTGTTTTCTGTGCTTTTGCACCTTTTGTCAATCTCTCACTCCTGGATGACACCGCGCTGACCTCTGGCAGGGCTCTTGGATGACTGTTATCTAACCTGACAGCAGCCTTCCTTGGAGGTGTTCACAGCTGCCCACCTGTGGCCCAAGGAGACCGCGGGGTGCAGGGTTCGGTGTTAGTGAGCAGTGGGGTCGGGCTCGCTGGCGCCTCCCCCACCTCCCCGAGGGTGGGTTTTCTGGCTCGGCTGTCACTCCAATGGAGCAGCCTGGAGTAGTTCACCCCATGGTGAGCAGCTGCGTAACCTCTCCATCCCAGATCTGACCAGCCTACAGCTCAGGTCCCCAGTCTCCGAGCACACCTCCCCCCCTTACCTGGCCACCTGATTGATGACCGGAGCGAAGTAGGTGGGGCCATAGAGCTGCACCGTGCGCAAGCTCCGGAAGTAGCTTTCCAGCACACCTTCAATGCCAGCGCAGTTCGGGTCCTCATCGTTGTTGTTCTGGGGAGGAATTCGCGCTGCCGAGCCATGCTGAGCCTGGAGTCCGTCCTTCCAACCCCCAAAGCCACGCATGTTCCCCTCCCACGCTGCGCTGCACCCTCGCCAGCCACGTGCATCCTGGGGCCCTGCCCTCCAGCCTAGGCGCCCGGCCCACGCCATACCAGGGGGAACTGGTGCGAGATTCGACCCTCGGGGGGCAGCTTGGCTCCGAAGCCATAAGCTGGGAAGAGCTTGTCACTATCGTAGTCCTGGATGATCTCTCCCACTGCCTTGAGGGCCAGGGCGTAGGCGCTGAGCTGGTAGGGACTCATATAGTGCAGGGATGTGGGCTGCAGAGGGTTTCCTATGGGCAGGGCAGAGATCCTGGGTCCACACCTGCTCCCCTACCCCACCACACTCTGCCAAGGTACTCCCTCAGGGTTCCCATGTCCCACCCATGCCCTTGGATCCGTCCCCACCCTCCTGCCCTCTCTGCCCACCTGTGCAGTCTTCTACCTGTGCCCATCTACCCTGGCACCCCATAAGAAGTCCACTTAGCTGTCCTTCCTCATGACTCTGTGGGCACCCAGCCATCCACACAGCTGCCACCGGGCATCTGCTGGTCCACTTGTCATTTCTTTCTGTCCTATCTGACCTTGGGACCATGTCATTTTGAGGCAGCTAGCCAGCCCCGCTCACCCTGTTCCTGCACATGCCTCCTCTGAACAAGGGTCTGTTCACCGCCTGCTAGCCACTCCCTATCCTCATTCCCGTTTCTTCCCTGTTGGTCCACCCACTGCTACCCATGCAGCTCTTGTCCGGAACTCAGGACAGCCCTTGTCCTCGACCTGCTCTGTTCACTGATCTAGCCCTCCACCCATCCACTTCTGCTCATAGCCCTCTCCCCTCCATTCATCTGTTCACCTGCCCGGGGAGGACACAGAGGAAACCATCTATCCATCTGTCTTTCTGCCCAGCTTCGTGCCAACCACATCCCTCCTACATGCCTACAGACGTGTCCTCTGAGGCACACACAAGACTTCTCAGCTAGGTAAACACCATTCCTCAGGCAGGAATGAGGCCAGTCAGGGAACCCCCCTCAGAGTCCCCTCCCCCCGCTTGTCCTCCCACACAGGCCTCACCATTGGAAGCTGTGAAGTCGATAGCCACCGTGAAGTTCAGCTGCGTCCTGTGGAGAAGCAGATGGCAAGAGCAGTGAGGGACAAATAACTGTTCTCTCTCTTTCACGTTCTCTCTGTATTTTTGCATTAGAGATTGAACCTAGGGTCTTGTACCTACTAGTCAAATGCTCTACCACCACGCTATCTCTCTAGGTCTCTTTTTTTGTCTTTTTGAGACAGGGTCTCACTGTGCAGTTCAGGCTGGCCTTGAGCTCACATTGTAGCCCACGCTGATCTCAAACTGTCAATGATCCTCCTGCCTCAGCCTCCCAAAGGGCTGGGATTACACGCCTGTGCCACCACACTCAGCCCCAACTGGTCTTAAATTAAAAGAATAAAAAAATCTGAGAGTGTCTTTCTAAATTGCCCAGGAGGGGCTGGTGAGATGGCTCAGTGGTCTAAAGCACCTACTTAGAACAAGCTTAGCAAAGCACAGGGACCGTGGTTCAATCCCCAGCACCACATGCCAGCCAGCCCCGCCCCCTGGTGGGCTGAGCTGGCCACACACACAAATAAATTAAAAATAAATAAATAAATAAAAAAATAAATAGCCCAGGATAGGGTAGAACTTTTGATCTCCTGCCTCAGCCTCCCAGGTAGATGACAGTCTTGTGCCACTATGTGGCACCACCAGTATTTCTTAAATGTTACTGTGTATACACATGTTAAAATGCAGCGTACAATCCAGGCAGTCTGGGTGGAGTCAACAAATCCCAAATGCTGCTCGTCCATGAAGCAAATGTTGGGAACCAGAATTAAATGTTTACTCTGACAATGTGTCAGATTTAACCGAATTTAACCCTGACTATAGCCCTGAAGCAGTGGTGAATGCCTCTGTTTTACATAGGAGAAGTGTTTCAGGGAAGCAAAGTACATTTCCTAGGTCTGCCTGCCTACAATGAACAAACCACAAGTCTCCCAGCCTCCTCCTGTCTATCCAGAACTGTGTGTGCTGGTGAAAGGCCCCAGGAGGCTGTGTAAGTGAAGCCCGCTATGCCCCTGAGCTACCAGGCTACACACCACCCCAGCCACAACTGTTTCCCGCCCTACAGGCACCTGAGCCCTTCTGGAGCCCCTGCTCCAGCAGCTGCCCTCCTGTGGGGACCAGAAGCTGAATGCAGGGTAGCACTATAAACAAATGAAAGGGCAGCCTTGTGCCCTATCCAGAGCACTTCACAGTTTGCCTGTACCTCACAGTTCATCACCAGAATCTCAAAAGTAAGAAAAGCTGCCAGATGTGGTGGTGCAGGCCTGTAGCTTGAGCACTCGGGAGGGAGGCAGAGGCTGGAGGATTGTTTTGAGTTTGAGGTCAGCCTGGGTTACAGAAAGAGTTCAAGGCCAGCCTGCACTACACAGTGAGATCCTGTCTCAAACAAATAAACAAACATAAATTTAAAAAAAAAAAAAAAAAAGGAAAAGCAAACCTGGGCTTTCAGGTCAGACCTTGGCTTGCCACTCACCCTCCCTTGATGTAATCGACAAAGGTGAATTCAGAGTCCACCGAGAAGGACAGCAGTGTCACCTGTGGGACAGAAGAGGTGGCCCTGCTACTTGGAAAGTGGGGAGCACAGAAAAGCTACAGAGGTGTTAGGAGGTGGCCAGTCAGTACATGATTCTGTCCTGTGCCTACCAGCTACACTGGTCACTTTTTCTTTTGTCTTTTTGAAATAGGGTCTCCCAGGTGTGTGCTACCATGCCCACTACCTGTTCAATTTCTAGAGGCTGTATTTCAACAGGTGTATTAAATTTGGAAATGGAACCCAAGAGTTTTTTTTTTTTTTTTTGGTTGCTTCTTTTATTCTGCCAGAATGTAAAGGTAAAAAACAAAATCCTGCGGTGGCGCCCCCTTGTGGTCACCATTGCTATAACCCGGTGTGACAGGAGCCCGCAGCCTGCCTCTGAGCTGGGGTCAACGTCAGGGCGAGGCTGAGGAAGCGCTTACAGTTCCCGAGTTGACGTATTTCTTCTTCTTGCATTTCTTCCGTGGGTTCAGCACCTAAGCGGGGCAAGCAACAGCGTGCGGAAGCCGGCGGGCTGCGGGCCCAGCAGACCGGGGCGGCCGCGCTCACCTCGTACACCGTGAACTGGCTTTGGGCCCTGCTCAGCTCGCGGTAGCTGGTGGTGAACTCGCCGATGAAATCATGGCTGCAGCGAGGAGGATGGTCAGCACCAGGCCGGCGTCCGTGTTGTCCCCACCCCCACCCCCGGTCCTATTTGGGCTCAGGGCAGCGGGGCTGGGACCAGAAAGGGGAAAAGGGTGGCAACAGCGTGCCTTGCCGCGCCGGAGCAAGATCCCCAAGACCCTGGTGTGGATTGCACCTTGCTGGCCCCCAGGCTGCTGTGTGGCTTCCTAGGGAATGGCCACTTGTCATGGAGTATGCGTGGGTCAAGCTCAGGAAAAAGAGGAGGCAGTCTTACCTTCCGTCTCGGTCCCAGTCATACACATCTATCTTCACTGTTCTGAAACGCGGGGAGGCACGGGCTGAAGCACCGGAGGAGTCCCAGAGACACTCCCCACCTTCAGCAACTCTCGCCCTGGCCCACCTGACCTTCCATGGCCTGCTCAACCTTCCTCCTGCGCTTTCATTCACAAGCGCATGCACACAGCTGTCCATTGCTAGTGCGCTGCTGCTGCTGCTATTGGAAGCATTATTACTGTTCCTTCACCATTGTAGTGAGCTTTACTGTATGCCAGGTATTGTTCTCAGCGCTTTTGCAGATATTTATTCTCTTCCCCATCTCTATTTATCATGGTGGATTGAACTCAAGCCTTTTATGCTGAGCTCCTCATCTCAAGAGTTTTGCATTCTTTCTTTTGAGTCACGATTTTGCTAAATTGCTCAGGCTGGCTCTAACTTGTGATCCTCCTGCCTCAGCCTCCCAGAGGGCTAAGGTTATAGGCATGTGCTATCACACCTGGCTAGATTGTCTCATTTAATTTACAACCACTCTGCATAAAATGAATACCATGATTCATGCTTTTGAATATGGAAATTGAGATTCAGAAAATAAAAAGGGATCTTAACTTGGCTAAGATCCCTTCACTAGTAAATGACTGAGCTAACACATTTTTCCCGAGACAGGGTCTTGCTATGTGGTTCAGGGGCTGGGCTTGAACTCATTATGTAGCCCAGCCTGGCCTCAAACTCTAAGGGATCATACTGAGTGCTGGGATTACAGGCACACACCACCATGCCCTACTGAGCTGATAATTAAACTTCAACATCTTGGCTCCAGAGACCTGTTCTTTTTTTTTTTTTTTTAATTTATGTATTTGGTACAGGGCCTCACTGTGCATCTTAGACTCATAGTGATCGTGTTTTCAGCCTCCCCAGCACTGGGATTACAGGTGTGTGCCACCATGCTTGGTCTCTGTGGCTGGCTTGGTGCACCCCACACATCATGTGGTGCCAGGATCGAACCTGGTCCCTGTGCTTGCCTTAGCAGGCGCTTAGTCTGCTGAGCTATCTCACTGGCCCCAAAGACCTATTCTTAACTAGCATGCTTGCATGCCTCTGTCAGTGTATCAGCCCATCTGCCCATATATTTGCCAACCCAATGACGTATTAATCAATCTCTTTATCCAACTATACATGCAGCCACTTATAGTACAAGTGGTACAGGTGCCCCATGGGTTGGTTTATTCATTTACCTAACCAAACACCAACATACATAACACCTGGTCACCACTCATTTGCATAGCCATCCCTTTCACCTCCCACCTATTCTCCCCCCCTGACTTTCATAGTACCCATTCATTCATGCTCTTGGTCAGCCTATCTATCTACCTTACACTCATGCACCAGCTTCCTTTTATCATCCACCCATCCATCAACCTGCCTGCCACTGCACTGTCTTTTCTATCCACTTGCTCTTATATTCATCCATCATATCCCTCTCCAGTCATTCGCAGACTCTCACACACTCATTCATCGGCTCGTCTGCCCATTTATTCAGCCGTCTGTTTCATCCTCGGTCCAGTGTTCCCTTCGTCTCTCTCCATCTGTGTCTCCAGCTGTACTGATCACCATTTCCCAGCATCCCGCTCCCGACACCTCTCCACACACCTGCCCCTCCATGTCCTCCTCTGCTCACTCGCCCGCCCAGCCCCTCACACCCAGGCCCAGAAGCCTCATCCCAGTCCCCCTCTTCCCTGGCCTGTGCCAAAGCAGACCTGTCATAGTCTCCATTACACAGAGCCCTCACGGGAATGCTGAAGGGCTGCCACACGGGATTCAGCGTGTTCTTAACAACCTCAGTCTTGTGGCAGATAGTGAACCTGGAGGGAGCGAGAGGGCTGGAACCCGCCTTGGTGTCCGAGGCCCTCAGCTTCCCCACCTGTACTGCGTACCACCCACCCTCAAGCTCAGGGGTTGACCAGGCAGGGGCTCACGTGCCGTCCTCGTTGCTCCTGTAGAACACAAGGAAGGGGTCCGATTTGCCAAAGAAATCCTTCTTGTCCAGCTTGTTTGCACACAGCTGCATGGTGGCAATGTCCTATGGAGGGAGAAGGGTAGCAGTTGCTTCAGACAGTCTGCCAGAGGGCATGTGGCAGGGAGGGGGGCTCCTTGTCTAGCATATGGCCCTACTGACCCGGCAGTTGCTCAGCTCCTCTGCGGTCAGCAGGATGCTCCCACACTTCTTGCCTGGTACACCCCTGGAGGCAGAGAAAGCCACTGAGCAAGAGCAGGGTCTGAGACAGGACTGGGTGGCCAGGGTTCTAAGCTGCCACTCCCTGGCAGCCCCTGGGAGTGTCCCCATGTGTGCTGGCAGGCAGCCTGCTGGAGCAGGATTGGCTGTGACTTGGGAAGGTTCTGCATCTGGGCAGGAGGGGACAAGCAGCCTAGGGAGGCCACTCACCACCAGAGCTTGAGGAGGGCTCAGGCTGGATGTTTGACGTTCTAGCTGTTACTTGCCCTGCTTCCCA